CAGGAGACCGCAGGACGCGGAGCCCGCCACCAGGGACGTGGACGCGGGAGCCCCTCCGCCCAAGCCTGAGCGGGTCACCGGGAGCCAGGGCACTCCCACCCTGCACGACCATCCATTGGCGGAGCTCTAGAACACCCTCATCCCTCCCCACATACTCCCTGCAGGCGTCAACAAGGGGCACAGACAGAAATCTGGTGACATTCCTTTAGGCAACACCACTGCGCACGCGGGTCACGGCCCAGGGGGCAGACAGGGTCAGCGGCTGCGCTCGGGGGAAGCCGCGGCCAAGACGCGGGAGGGCTGGGCCCGCACAGGGAGGTGGGCGGGTCACACACCCGAGCGAGGGGCCTGTGGCCGGGCAGGGCCGAGGGGCGGGGCCAGGAGAGCTGGCTGTCCTGGGCTGTGGCGGGGGCTAGGCCTTCTGGAGTCCGAAGATGAGAACCGGCGCCGAGAGGAGCCTGAGAGTGCCCTCCGGCTGCGGCTGGCCAGGAATCCAGACAGAGAGGACAAAGACGGGGAGGGACAGGGCGAGCCGGCGGGGGCACGGGGCGAAGGGGTGGGAGTCGGGTGCAGCAAGAAGGGAGGGGCGCAGGCGCTGGAGGACCGGGTGGCCCAGCCAGCGGGGTGGTGGGTCCGGCTGTGGCTCCACTCCAGCCTCTGTACCCAGTGTCAGCGGGGCCCCTCTCCCGCGCTTGAGCCCCGGGCCTTGCCTCTGCGGAGCGCCCTGCGGCCCTGCCCAGCCGGCTCAGCCACAGGCCCTTGCTCGCCGCTCGGGTCCGCTCGGTCCAGCAGGGGCCAGCCTGCCAGGGGCCAGGCGGACAGATGGACGGGAGGCCGGGGCGGCAGTCTCTGGGGGCGGGTGGGCTTCCCTCAGGCCTTCCCGAGCAGCAGGGCCACCAGTGTCCTTGGCGGGCTAACTGGGTGGGCTGGCGGGCGGGCGGGCGGCTCCGGGGCCTCACACCACGGTGCTGACCGAGGGATCTGAGAGGTTGAGCGGCCCCGTGATACCAGTGGGATGGTACTGCTGTAAAATAGAAATACACAGACAAGGCGGCCGGTTAGCCCAAGGCTCGAGGGCACTCGTGGGGCCAGGACGGGGACTGACCAGCCGGCTGACCGGCAGGTGGGTGGGTGGGCGCGGCCTGGGGGAGGCTGGGGGTGCTCCTCCCCCTGACCCCATCGTGCTCCGGGGACTGTGCGTGGGCCGGGCCGCTGTCCCGTCCGTCTGTCTGTCTGTCTGCGGGGGAGGGGGCAGAGGAGGGCAGGCAGGGCGTCTCAGCTCTCCCTATGCCGGGCACACATCTGCAGCTGGCCCTCCTCCCTCTCAATAGCGCGTCGCGGCAGCACTGTGTCTTTTTGGTTTTGCAAAGCGACGCGTCCACCCCCGGTGCTCTATAAATAAGAACCAACAATCAATACTGCTGGCCCCGCCGGCCGCCAGGGACCCCAGCCAGCCCTGAGTGCCCAGTGCCACCCAGGCCCAGACCAGCCTCAGGACGGGGCCCGAGGGTCTCAGCAGCCGGACCGAGCCCCCGCCCACCCAGTCCCCCACCCAGCCGCCCTTGAGCAGCCGCCCAGCCCCAGAGGCAGGGTGGGGGCTGGGCTGCTTGCCCCGCCCAGCCCCCCAGCTGGCAGTGCCCCCAGTCACCCTGCAGGCACCGCCCAGATGTCACATGGTGCCAGGCTGGCCCTGGAGGACGGGTCCCTGGTGCCCAGGGGGGCTCGGGTGGGAGTCCTGGAAGTGAGGCCCAGAGGGGCACAGTGAGGGTCCCTGAGCTGTCTGTGGGCTTTTGAGGAGGCTCTGTCTGCTCTGGCAGGCCCCGGGCCTCAAGCAATGTCACCTGAGAGCTGCCCATTGCTTACAAGTCACTCTGTGCCCCCTTTAGCCACTGCCCCAAAGCTCTGCTGCTCTGATGTGCTGGGGATCCATCGGCCTCATTCCTCAGCTCTTCCCACGCTTGGCCTTTGTCATTCCCAGAAGCAGAGGCCTGCCCACTCTCTTCTATGCCCAGCTATGGCTGTCTCAGCCTGTGCTGACCCCACTTGCTCCTGGAGGCTCCTGCTTCCAGGCCCATGGGCCCTCACACTGTGCCCATCCCCTCCCCATGCTACCCTCAGGCGTTACAAGTTCCTCTTGGGACAGCCTAGTGGATTTCTGCAAGGGACCCTCTCTGGTGCACTGGGTGGCCCCAGAGTCCAGCTCTGGGTCAGGGGAGGTGGGGGTGACAGTAGCCCAGACCATAGACTGCTACTGGACTTGGCTCTACACTGGCTTCCTGGGGGGTTCCTTCCCACATGCCAGTGGTGGTGGTGGGGCCTGGGAAGGCTGCTTCCCCTTGGGGGTTGCCTGATCTGAGTGTGGGTGAGGGGCAGTGAGAAATTGCTCTGAGTCAAGGGGCGGAGCTCAGGCTCCAAGGTCATAGGCTGGGCTCTGGTGGGGACCGGTGGGCATGGCTGGTTAGAAGATGAGCACTGGTTTCCTCCTGAAGGCCCCCCCCCGCCTCCTGGGCCACTCTCTGGATCTCCCTGTGCCCCTGGGCGCTCAGACCCTCTGGGATTGCTGCTATTCTTGTGGGGCCCTGCTCAGCCTGTTCCCACCCTGTCCCTCCCTGATAGCCCTCTTTGGCTGGGGCTGGTCTCAACTCCAGGCCCCAGCCATCCACCCAGAGGGACCCAGGCCCGGCCCCCAGCCCCCGGCCCACACAGAGACCACATGGAAGATGCAACACGCATGGCTCTGGTGAGACAGGTGACACAGTTGTCGGGGGCAGGGCCAGTGGCCAGACAGACGGACGGGATGGACGTCACAGCCACCCCCTCCTGGACGTCGCAGGGAGGGTGGCAGCTCCCCTAGGAGAAGCTGGAGATCAGGGCCGGGACGGCGCACCTCCCGGCAGGCGAGGAACCAAGAGCAGCCCTGGCCTCTGGGGCTGGTGTGGCCGCGAGGCAGCGGACTGGCTGACTGACTGACAACATGACACAGCTCCAGATGGCGTGTGGTGGTCATGGCACGGTGCGGGGCGGGCAGACCAGGGCAGAGAGACACATGGGGGAGACAGGACCAAGGGCTCAGAGCGGAAGTAGCCAGAGAATGGCCAGAGTACGGGGAGAGAGGGGGCAAAGGGAGATAGAGGGAGAGCCGCCCTGTGGTGGGCGAGGGGCCGGCTCGAGAGAGATGGGCAGCAGCGGGTGGGGTGACGAGGGGGAGCAGGCCTGACGCAGGGGGGACGGAGACACGGGGGCGTGGGCGAGAAGAGTCGGAGACGTGTGACCAGGGTGCCCCCTTACCGTGTCTTTGGAGGACCTACGTCTCTTGAAGCTGGAAGCCAGCGTGGAGGTGATAGCCCTAAATGTGGCTTTCTTTTTAGGGTCGGGCTCTGCTCTACCACTCTTTCTATCCTAAAATGAATATGTATAAGTGATTAGATGGCTAGGGGGGCGGCCACCCCTGCCCTCGCCTGCTCCGGGGGCTGCTGCCCAGCCTGGCCGGCCGCTCGGGCCCTCACTCCTGCCTGCCTCCCTGTGTGTGCTGGGCTGCTGGGCTGCTGGCCAGGCCCATGTGGGCGGCCTTGTCTCCTCCTGGTCTCTGCCTGGCCTTCCTCATGGTGGGGCTGGGCTTGAAGTCCTGGCTGTCTCTCTTCTTGGGAGGTCTACCTCATGGCCTGGCTCCTGGGCAGCCCTGGCTCTCAGGTGTCCCCAGTAGAGAGTGGTGCTGGGCTGGCACCCTCCAAGGACTGGAGGCGGCTCCCTGCCATTCTGCACAGAGGTTGCTGACCCCAGAGGGGGTGCACACCAAGAGACAGGAGGGGGTGAAGGCAGTTGGTGAGACAGAATTGGAAGTGGACAGAGGCAGCTCCTGGGACTCTGGCTGTGGCTCCGGTGGCCCTCATGCCCACCTGTGAGTAGCAGGGACCAGGTCCCTAAGGACCTGTGGGCCAAGAGCAAGAATGGGCAGAAGAGAGGCATGGGGGGCTCCAGCACCCAACCCCCCTGGCCCTCACTGTGGCCACAGCAATGTCACAGGTTGGGGACACCAAGGGTCCAGTCCAGGACCCAGCTCCGGGAAGGTTCCGGAGAAAGAGAAGCAGTGGACTGAGCCAGATGTGACTGTGGGGACACTGTTGACCCTGGCCAAGTGGCCAGCTCCGGCCAACTCCACAGGGGGCCAATTCCCATGGACATGGGCAGGGACACTGGACTCAGTGGCCCATATTGGCTGGTGTCACAGAGCACAATGACAGCAAAGGGAAGGGGCCCCAGAGGGTGTCGAAGGGCGAGGGCATTGGAGGGAACCATCAAGTGCTCGCTGAACACACGTGGGCCCCTGTCTGACTCGGCCTCAGTTAACCTCCCTACAGAATGGGCGCCAGGGGGCGACTTTGAAGACCAAGGGTCCGGTGGCAGCGTGCACAAGGCTTGCAGCCTCCCAAGTCCTGTGTTGGAGAGGGCAGCCACGTCCAGGCAGCCCTCCCTCCAGCACTTCTGGAGCCCCGGGAGCACTCACCGCTGCCCTCCGGCCCTGGTCCAACTCCAGTCCTGCCCACGTAGGCCCGTGAGCCTGCAGGCTTCTCGCCTGGGGCAGGGCCAGTGCCACAGCCTGCGGGCTTGGAGGAGGGCCGGGCCGGGCGGGGCCGCGGGCACCAGGCCTCAGAGGGCGGCCTGTCCTACCTGCAGGTTCTTCCTCCACACGTTCACCGCGGCAAAGGCCAGCTGCATCTGCTTCCGGCGGGCGTCTTTATGCCGTTTGTATGCAATTTCGATGAAGATTAGGAAAATGCCTGCCACGATGCCCCCGGCCACCAGCATGAAGACCCCTGTGCAGCCAAAGCAAAGTCTCAGCGCCCCCAGCCCCATCCTCGGTGTCAGAGGCGGCCGTGAGGGCGGGCAGCTCACCGGCCATGTTCTCGAAGGTGAGAGTCGCAGGGGCGTTGCTCCGAGAGTCACACTCTTGATACCGCACCCAAGTCTTATCTAAGTCTTCCATGAAGCCATTCTCGTGGGACCTGGGAAGCAGGGGGTGTGAGCGGGAGTGGGGGACAGTGACACATGGGGGTGCTGTGGTGGGGCCGGTGATGGCAGGACAGTGGTGGGAAGAACTGTGCTTCTGGGGGGCTGCTTGGAGTGGACAAGACTGCAGGGGGTGGGGAGCTGGGGAGGAGGGGAGACAGGGAAGCAGAGTGGGGCAGCCAAGGAAGGGCCAAGTCCGAGGTGAGAAGAGGTGAGTGTGGCCGCAGTCTGTGCTGAGGCCTGGGAGGCAGGAGCCGGGGCTCGCAGGCCGACTCACTTGAGGATGGACAGCGAGACGTTCTGCTTCCAGGGGCTGTCCTTACGCATGCCGATGCCGAAGCCCGAGCGGAAGAAGAGCTCTCCTGTGGTCACCAGGTCGCACTTCTGAGAGGCCTCGAACTCCAGCACAGCAGAGTCCCAGATGAAAGCGTGCAGCTTGCTGCAGTCAGGGCGGGAGTGAGGGCGTAGCCTTCTCGCACCCCTCTTCTCCTTGTCCCGCATGGCTTTGCCCTCCTTGACCTCTGGCCTGCGTGGATCCTTCAGCCTGGACACTGTCTAGGTCACGTTTGTTGGGCAAACGCTCTTCCTGGCTCATGGCCAGATAGCCGCGCCCCTCACTAATCCCTCTCACCCCTTGGTCTGACACAGCCTACCCACATGCCCTCCCCCTCAAGGCCTCACTCCATCCCCCAAGACTGCGGCCTTCACTTGCACAGCGCCCCCTCCACTGTCTCGGCCACCTGCATGTCACACCCTCAAGGCCCCACCTCTCACCTCTTCCCTACCTGGCCCTGCCC